AGTACCTCCATATAGGTTTAAAACGCAGCCCGCTTCTGAAAGAAAGTGATGACCCTTTGTTAATGATTTCCTGGGATCATCATTCACTAATGACCTTCTGCCTTTCCAGGTTTTGTTTTCCTCTCTTTACAGTGTTGCTCCAATGTAATAGGTCCACTGGAAAATGAAAGTCAAACTTAAGTTCCACCTGAGATCGTTTCCTTGCTACCTTTCTTCATATAGTGTACTCTTTTCTGTTATGTTAGTAGTATATATAGAGTTTTTACTCGTGCACATCCATTAATTGCAAACAGATACGTTCAGTTCACCGTTCACCAAATACGTGGGCATGTTCTTTTAGTTTAGGGGGTAGTGCCTTATGGCGCTCCTTTCCCGCTGCTCCGTCCGACGGGGGGGTTTAGTGACAGGAGCGGCACTCAAAAGCAGCAGCACTTACACAGAGACAGACAGACAGGTCGCCTCCGCAGCAGTGCGGACAGGACAGAAACTAAAGTATCGATCCCATTACACTGGTATCGATCAATATCAATACCAACGTTGGATCGATATATCGATATTTTGGATCGATCAAATGGTGCAAATAAATGCTTTCCCGTCAAAGTTAACTAAAGTTGTACTATACAAAAACGACTTGCAAATCCACCAGTTGCAGCAATTCTATTGACATGAATATATTTAACTGCAAAGCTTTGCCATTTTAATTCCTTTATTGGTCTCTGGGTTGTCAATAAATCTACAGTTTTGGACTGGTAAAAAATCAATAGCTTGTCAGTTTGGTCAGATGACGGTTTATAAGAGTGGATATAAAAATGGAAAGTAATGGCCACGTAATCAGATGTATTGAAGCATCTTAGTAACCAATCAGAATAATACATGACTTGAGAGGGACCTAAAATAAAAACCAATATGTAAGTTACATTATCGTATTTAGTCCTCAATTTTAAGCAGTTCAGGAGCTACTTAATAGCAGTTTTCAGCTATTCCCCCGTTGTCCTTTTTCCTACCCAAGCTCTGCATCTTTCTTCCCCTTTGCTCGTCCTCTTTCAACCTTCTCTTCTCTTGTCACTTCATCTACTATTGCCTCCTCTCTTCTATCCTCTCGTACATTTCTCCGATGTTGTCCAGCTGTCTCCTGACCTCCCTTTTCATTTTTACTTTTTGACTTATTTCTCCTCCTCGATTTTCTCACCCTTCGCCTCTTCCTCACCCTCGCCCTCTCCCAATAGTCTTGTCTTCCCCATGTCGTTCATGGATTATTAATTGTCTTGTGGAGGTGGAGTGCCACACTGACACTCTGTCGACCAGCCACAGAAAGCTATTGACTAGAAGTTTGGTTCAAAGAAACCACAAGGGATTTTTCAAGGGTTGCTGAACTTGTCCTCACAGCTAAGGTTACAATATAGATTATTCACAAACTTAGACAAAGTATGGATCAGCTGCAAGAGAAGCAGAAAAGTAACAATATGCTTAAGTTAATGGGGTATACAAGATGCAACTGGCTGAGGAAATTAGATATTCAGGACAAAGGATGCATGCCTTTGTAATGAGTTATGACTTTGTCGGTTATGGCTGATTGCAGCTCCCATTTGTTTGTGAAGATATTGTATTTTAACTATGACAAGGGCAAGAAAATGCAACATCACACTTTATTTTTTGTGTCAGCAATTCATTTATTCCTTAATCCTGGCAGTGAGATCGTTATAAAGAAACTGTAATAATGGTCTTGTGAAATTAAATTAGGATACTATGAAATTCAGAGTTGTTGTGGGAGAAAGGTTCCAAATATAAACTGTAATATGTGTCAGTTAACCAAGTCTATACACCGATCAGCCATAACACTTACAGGTGAAGTGAATAACATTGTGGATGAGATATATTAGGCAGCAAGTTAACATTTTGTCCTCAAAGTTGAGGTGTTAGAAGCAGGAAAAAAAGAAAATCTACATGCAAAAACAGCTGATGCCCTGTGATCAAGTATGTAAAAACCACAGCCCAACCTGATGTCTTTAAAATGTTCTCCAACCAGTCCAAAACCCAAAGTCTCAAAGATAGTTTATATCCCAAGTGTATGATTTATATCCCAAAGATACCTAAACATCATCTAAACAGACTGCTGTATCTGTGAACTGATTAATTCATACTAGACTATAATCCAGCTGTAGTTCAGTCATAGCTACCCATACCAGCAAATACTTTAGACTACCCCTATATATTTGTCTTTAGGAAATGGCTTTACTTTTACATGTTTTGCAGTTTACCTTGGTGTGCCATTATATTGGCCAGATGTAAAAGTCCATAAAGACATCTCACTTTGACAGGTTTGCTTGTCCATTTGCAGGTCCCAGTCCTCATGTCAGTGTCTCTGCTGAACATACTTATGAACCACCACAGGAACTACAACCATCTGATTCCTAATTCAGCTTCACAGTCTGGACTTAACCTCCCGGAACAGATACTCACATTGATGATATGATTTAACAGGGAATATAGCTAATGAGGCCTTTAATCACCTATTGGTTCCTTTTACAGGGTATGCCAAAAATGTTCAGTTTCAGGTTTAGTTTTCGTTCTTTTTTTATGTGTGCTTTCAGCAGTAAGTAAAAAGTGTTATTTACGTTATATCCCAGAAAGAACTTGCTTATCGCTCTAATCCAAAGTTGGCCTTTTCCCCAGCTTTCTGTCATGCCACTAAGGATGTGGTAAAACCCTATTTTGGCAGTCTTGTAAATAAAATATTAGATACTTCTAGCACTGATATTTTTCTGTTGAAAACATCCAAGGATAGTATGAGATAAGCAGCACATGGTTTGTATTGGAAAATCTCATATTTGTGCAAGACCCTTAGCTATGGTAACAGTCACAGTGCGCATGGGCTTTCAGTGGAGTAAAATCACAAAGAATTACACATTTCTCCAACATGTAAGTAAATCTCATGTCTTTGAACATGAGATCAAAAATGTAAGACTCTGCGTTTTAAGTTAAACAGTTGAAGGTCATTATATTCATCACATCCAGTATTATGTTGTGTGTATCTCACGTACTCTATGCATTCCGCATGAACAGAACCTGCATGGACCTAAAGCGAGGGTTAGTGTCTTAACAAGGGAAAAACAGCCGTGCTGCCCTCAGCATTGCCCATATTGGCTGAATGGCTCCACGTATACAAAACCTCATCTCTATTAGCACTAGTTTCAGAGGGTGGAGGAGAGAAGGAGAAAGAGAAGGACATAATAACAGTTAGAATGGAGATAACAGGTTCCGAGAGTCATACACACACCTTTATCTGAGATGAATTCAACCTGTAAAGGACAAGCAATATCTCTGGTAGCTAACTAACAACACTGAGATAAGAGTGCAGTCAGACTGATCAGGCTCTGCTGCCCATAACAATTACTGAGAGACGGAATAAACAACATCCAAACAAACAACATCATCATTATCATGTGACAGAAGGGTGGTGGAGAAAGGCGATAACTAAACCACTCGCATGACCCCTCTTTTAACATGGCTATAAGATTTACAAAGATGAATGAAAACTAAAATAGTGTGTGACCTTGTGATTACCTGTATTTACTATTTATTTTATCTTATTTCACAGAAAACAAAAAGAATACAAAATAATAGCATTGATACTGTGGCCAGCTGATGTTTAATTAACCACATTAGGCCTTGCAGTATCTTCTCAACTGAATGGATTGTCTGCCCTAACTATGATCTTCTTTCTTTAAAATATATTTTCCATGTGATTAAGGTCTGAAAAATCCTTTTTACACCAACAAAAGGATCAAAAACAAACTTAAGGTCAAAAGTATTAGACATTTCTACAAGCAGTGGTGGAAGAAGTACTCAGATCGATGGCTTATAGAAATATCTACCAGAAATATTTCGTCCTAAATGCTGTCAAGACAAATGAAAATAAATGAAAGTAGGATAGGAGTAGACTAAGATGCAGAGTGGTGCTTCTGACTTTGCTGTAGTTTTTTGCACAGTATGTTAATGTAATGTTGTGTATAGTGTAGACTTGTGTGTCATGATTTGTACTTTTTTGGATGTTTTGAATGTTTTTGTGAGTTGTATTTTTATGAAAGTCTTTGATTTTATGACATCTTATGGTGAAACCGAACAAAAATTTCCAAACTGGAAAATTACATTTTTGTATGTGTATCTTCTACTTAAGTAAACGTAGTAATACCGTAGTGTATAAATACAATGTTACAAGTCCCAATTCATTCACAATCTTTAGTAAATGTACAGTATTTTCATCAAAATATAGTATGAAAGGTATAAGTACTCATTATGCAGAATTGCCGGTTTCAGAACAATTTAATATTGGATTAGAATTTTCGATGCATTAACGTGTACATTAGATTAATTTGTTTTTAATGATGACCTTATATCCTATATAAACTACTGGGTAGTTTGTAAATCACCCCTGTGGGGATCAATAAAGTCTCATCTAAACTTAATAATACTATAATAATAATACATCATAATTTATTATATTTTGTACTATTGGTAAATCTGCAAAATAACTAGTTAATAACTGTAGCGGAATAAAAGGTACAACTCTTGCCTCTGAAATATTGTGATGTTGAAGTAGACAGTTGCTGAAAGTACAAGTACCTCAATTATACTTAATTATACTTAAATACTTGAGTAAATGTTAACTTACCGTAGTTATATTCTGCCACTGTCTACAAGAGAGCCAAAAATGTGTTTGCAGGGTTTCACAGGTACATATAATTGTCCGTCAAAACAATAAAAAGAGACACTGTGACTGAATTAATCAAATGTAGCATTGGAAACATATGGAATTCCTCAAGGTTCTACTTTGGTTCCCCTTCTGTTACTGCTGCATTGAAGAATTGAAATTCCAGTACCTTGTGCAACAGAAAACTGTAAAATAAATATATGGTTCTCTTTTTTTCTGACTGCTCTGCCTTCACTCTGGTTTTTGCCTTGATTTCCATTGATCCTCTTCCTGTATTTGTTCTTTCTAGCTGAGGTGTCAAGAGAGGCGGTAGGAAGTCTGACATCTCTGTTGGTTCAGCCTATCTCTGCCTTCCTGGCAAAGACGTTACTGTCCTCTCCATCCACAGGGCAGGGAGACTCCTGTATTCCTCTCGCCATGCCTCCCAATGCTGGTAAATACACAAAATACACTATGACAAAATGACTGTTGCATGAATTATATGTATCAATCACATATATATCAATCAATATTATATACAAACACATCATCTAACAGTCTCAGATCAAAAAGATCAAGTTCACAAATTAAATTCCTTAATTAAATTAATCAAATTAAATATTTAATGAAGACAGACTAACACATGCACAGTCTCATCCTCATCATTTGTTTGTTTTGTTGTTGTTTTGTAGTGAAACTGCTGTCCTTTACATAGAAAGAAGAGAGGTTCAAGGTTTTTATAACAAATAAAATCCTAAAATGTAGCGATGTTTGAGCGAACTACTTGCTGCTGTATCTACATGTGCCACCATCACAATTAGGGTTAGGATATCCCCAGGATTCCTCCCTGTGGATTTATTCCAGCAATGTCCAACAAGGTGGACGTATGCATATGTATCTTTAAATATTAATTATAACGCCTCAGGAGCCCAGAACCCCCAGGGTGAGCTGCAGGACGAGGCTGAGGAGAATAATGTCTGGACTTCGCTTAGCTCACTGCCTCGTCATTCTCCACAGTAACAGAAAGCGATATTCATGTCAGCATGTAGATTTCATTCTGATAAAATGTGTTTGGTACGATAGCAGTCTACTTAATGTCCTGCTGCATCCAGTTTCGAGCTTTGGTATCCCTTTCAATCATATTGACTACAGTAGCAGGGCATGCCACTGTTGATTCTAGACTTTCTGATCTTTGACTCAGTTAAAAGTTGAAATGATTAGTTTTTAATATAATTGTGAAAAACATAATCTGCAACTATTCTGATAACCAGTTAAATGTTGAAGACATTTTTCAAGTAAAAATACCAGGCATTCCCTTGTGATAGTTGTGTGTGAAGATTTGCTACTTTTTTCTCTCTCTCTCTTTCTTTGAAAACATTGTCTTGGACTTTCAGATATTTATCAGGCTTTTATGAAGGCACCTTTAGTAAACAAAACAAATAATTGATCAATGAAAACAAAATCAACAGATTATCCTTTTACACGCTCACTGCACAGGGACATGGTTTTTGTTCATATTAAAGCATGACATTCTTGGATATGGAGGTAAGAACGCTGGAAAATTCAAGAAAGTACACAAACCAACAAAATACCAAATTATTAACATGAAGAAAGTTTAAATTGTACATACAGGATCTTTGTTTTCATATCACCCTGCTCTATCTAAATGAATTAACGTCAGCACCGCCTACCTCTGCTAGAATATTAGTCACACTGTACGATGACTCATTGACCATAACCTGGAGTCTCCAGCAAACACGGCTTGGCTGAGTCACAGATGTGGCCTGAATGCCTCATTTCCACTGCTGTAATGTCCACTGGAAGTGTCTCATGCAACTTCACAGTCGTTGTCTTTCTTTTTCTCTTATTCTCTACGACATTTCACACACAATGCTTATACAGGACAACATGTTAAAACCACTATTTAAGTAGTGTTCTCCACAGGATTAAGTTAATATATATTACAGGGTTCATGAGTTGGTAATATGTTAAATATATTTGAGTTGCTTTTAGAGTACAGGCTCTCTGATGTTTACACGCACAAAGTGTCATGACGGCGCGCCCCAGTAGCTCACCCGGTCCTGTCCCCTCTCTATCCCCTGCCTGTGTCACTATGCAAAATAAAGCAAAATGCCAAAAAAAAGAGAGAATTGTCATGACAGCTGCTTGTGGTTATATATTTTCAATGTATACACATAAGTTAACAGATACAAATTAGATGACAAGGATAATCATATCGCAATCAGTGAGTGAACCAACTTTAAATTCATATTAGGCAAGTATGAGTGATAACTGAGATAAATATGAAGGATTAGGGGTGCTGCTACCTGAAGAGAAGGTCATTTGCCGGGGCAATCACAGTTTGTGTAGGCAGTGCCAGCCCGTGGCATAAGCAAATGCTAAGGGCGCCGTCCAACTTTCAATAGTAGTAGTATTAAAAAAAAATAAGCCCACATTAATTTAACTGTATAGCAAAGCCTATTAAATAATAATAAGACTTTATTAAGCCCCCCGCCCCCCCTCCTCCTCTACCTGCTCTCTGAGAGATGGTGGAGTTTTCTGACGTCACCCCAGAAACCATTAACAATGGCAAAACCACCAAAACTTTCCGGTGCCCAGAGAAGGAAAAAAAGAAAAGAAGAGGAGGAAAAACGCGACAAAGACAGAGGTAGAGTAAAGATAATGTGATGAAATGATTTGTCTGTTGCAGAACGATAGTAACCTTTAGTCTAACACGGTTTGCTAATCAGTAAATAGCGTTTGCTCGTTTTAATGTTAGTTCATGTTATGGAGGGGCCGAACAGCTGTTATAGAAAAAAGTAGTACTCCCACCTTATATTTCTCAGGGACATTTGTAAAGATTAGATCTATTCAGCAGGTGTTTACACTTGTCTACATTTTTATTTGTATTTATTATTGGTTAGCTAACGTTTGCTCTGCTTGTAACAGTCACACACCTTTATATATTAGAGTTGTAAGCCTTGTTGTTTGTTGTGTTACAGTTCAGTATGTTCTAAAGTGTGTTTATAGTGTTAAACTTTACATCCATGTTAAAGTGCACATCATTAATGTTAATACATTCCCATCTGTTATATTATACTGCAGTTTACTGCTTCTTGACATTCTGCTCATCAGCATTTCACTGTAATGACAATGAGATTAAATCTAATCTAATTTGCATATCAGAAGAAATTGCACTGTATATCATTCATGTACAGTACAGTGAAAGTAATGCATCTCTTAGGTTTTTCATTTTTATTATTTAATTTTTTTATTGGAATCATTTCTGTTATTATTAGACTGTAACACCCATCTCTTCCTGTTACAGTGGCTGCTGCTGAAAGAAACTTCTCCAAGCTCAAACTCATTAAACCTTACCTGAGATCTACTATGATGCAAGAACTCAGTGGACTTTCCATCATAAGCATCAATTATGTGGTCTCAAATCAGTTGTCATAAGATGATGTTATAGATGACTTTGCTGCAAGAAAGACTAGGAGAGTACAACTGTAGCAGGTCATGTGAGGATGACTAGGTGGTGGTGTAGTTTAATTTATTTTATCACTTGTTTACAGTTTTTATTTTGTAGGTAGTTAAATTTTATACTTTGTGTGGGCTATTTATATTCCTTGTATTATTTATTTCTAATGTATTATTTTCTTGTTGACTGTTTTGATTGAGCAACTTGTTTCTCTAAAAATGAAATAAAATGTCAAAGTTTCTTATAGTATATGTATGTATATAACTGGCAGTGGAATTTATTGCGATGCAAGGGGGGAACCACCTAAAATCTTGCCTAGGGCACCAAATTGGTTAGGACCGGGCCTGTGTGTAGGGATGAGCTAAAGGAAGTCAGGCTCACGACATACATTGGAGAGGAGAAGGAGACTCTTGGTTGAGGCAGTAAATTGGCTCAGATTCTGCAGAAACAGGCAGCCATGCACGCTGTGGTAGTTTGGGCAGAATAGAAGACAGGTCCAGTTTTAGGGAGATTAGAGAAAATCAGGTCAGCAATACATTTTACATCAATCATAGATTTAAAAAAGGTGTTTATATGCACGTACTTTCATAAATAAATTCCAAACTTTAGTTTTAGCCTTTCATTCACTCCACTCCAGAGTGGATTGATAGATAAAAAAAACATTACTTAAACACTTCAACGTGGTGGACCACTAGCTACTTCAAAGTTCAAAGTTCCTATTGATATACAAGATTCTTTTTTTCTGTAATCATGACCAAGATCATTACCTAACCTTATAATTTTAACCACGATGATAAAGGGCACCCTGGACTTAAAATAGTCATTTAAACTCAAACCAAGATGTTTGGCCAAACTTTGCCAAGTTGTTTTGTTCCTAAACATCATCATTAAATGTTTGGAAGGCTTTTCAACCTTTCAAAGCAAAAATCCAAGGTTTTTGTTACTGAGCTTCAAGAGCCCATATCTTTTGACCTGCGGATAAAGAAAGAGCAAGAGGAATAAAGGTAAGCAGGCATGCAGAGAAAGCATTTAGTCTATATGTTACAGGCAGTTGTACCTGTCACCCAGCAAGCTGGTCAGTGACTCATGTAGAATGTTGCTCTCACTCCATTATTTCAAGTCTCTCCCAACCCAGTGCAAAAAAAAAAAAGTCCCCCAAAAGATAAGTATTCATAGGCGTTTTATATATAGACCTGCTCTCTAACCCTTCTTTTATTACATTCTCTTTTTTATTGTAGTTGCATGCCGTCTCTGCTCTTGTTATTTTGTGCTGTTTAATTACTTGAACTATTTTTATTGCATTACATTTTGATTGCCTTGAAATGTGACTTGGGTCTTGGGTGCATGTCGTGGTCACGTCATCATAAATGAGATGCAGTTGGTAATTAACCTATCGTGAATGAGGTGAGAGAAGAGATGCAGGGACAAGCTCTTACTGTAGGGGCCAACGAGACCTCCCTTCACACAAAAGGAGAATGAATAGACAGATGGTGGGATTAAATGTAAGAGATACTTATTTTGATTGGGGTTTCAACATTCCTCCTTGAAAGCAAAGAAAAGCATTATAGCAAAATTAAATCGGGGCAGGGCATTACAGATCCTCATGGTAAAAATGACCATAAAATGCTTGTGAAAAAATTACACTATGTAAAAGTGCTCCTACAAAACAGGATAGAAATTAGCAAGTGCAAAGTAATTTCTCTCCCAGGAAGGCTTGTCTCATTTCACATAACCCACATAAAAAAATAAAGCAGAAAATATATTATAAGAAAAATAAATGAATAGATAAGAAGGCATTGAGGATATTTTCCTATTCTAACAGGATATTGCTCGGTTGAAATATCGAAAGAGACCAAACAAGAGACAAGAAGATGGAGGTGAAGAAGGTGATATTGGTATTGAAGCAATGGCTTAAAGAGCTGGTTCAACCAAATTTCACATTTTCTCACTTAGTTTTGGTGGTATCCAACCGT